CTATTTAAGAGACTGAGCTGAATACAGCTCCTCAGACTGAGGAAGTCTCTCGGATGAGAGACGAAACGTTTCTACATTTTTTTGTTGATTTGCTTTGTTTTGTTTTTTTGTTTTTTTTTTGAATGTCCAGAGGACCAGATTTAACTTTTTTAGATACATAATGTAATGGTCTACATGTCTTTGAGTCTGAGTACTGTATGTATATTTTCTGTAGTACATTAATAGTGTCGTTCCATTTTACTGACCGATGCTGCAGATATACATGTTTTTATTGTTTACTCTGCGACACAGTTCAACCTGGACTTGTGATTCTGTGTCAGAATTTCAGGGATGACCTGCAGAGTTAAATGTCATTAATCAAATAAGAAACAGGAACAATTTTACCTTTGAAAGTTTTTATTCAACACAAAGTAAAACCAACGTGTCATTTTAAACTGCAGTAAACACGTTTAAGTAAAAGTTGTCTGATGAACAAAAGGAGCATTAGACACAAGTGACACAGAAACATCTGATCAGTTCAACTGCAGTTTGTCATCAGCTCTAGTTAAAATATGTCTATTCAACCTTGTAATGGGTCGATATTGAACAATATTTTAACTTCCTGACAACATTTTTAAAACTTGGACCTGAGTGTCGAGACATTTGGAGACATCTCTCGTCCCCTAACATCATGAACTGACACATTTTAATGTTGCAGCAAGAAGTTCTTGTTCAAGTTCAGAAGAAGTTGGTTTTCAAAGATTTTGGAGTCCAGTCTGGTTCTTTTGGGAGAATCTGTCCTGCTGTACTGAGCAGTCTGTCAATAGTCTGTCAATAATCTTTCAATAGTCTTTCAATAATCTTTCAATAATCTTTCAATAATCTTTCAATAAGGCCCTGTGTGCAGCGTATCTTCTGGGTGACTCTCTCACGGTGGAATACATTCTGGGTGTGTTAGTGGTGCTGCAGGTGCACCCAGCTCAGTGACATAAATACTAGAATATATGTCATTGGCCCAGTTTTTCTTGAAGGCGGGGCCTAACGTTACCTGCCCACTCTGCAGTGATTCACTGGACCAGCTCCTCTCATCATTAGTTACTTTCAAAGTAATGAACAAATCAAAAAGCTGCAACATGAATGTAACTTGTAATGCAACATGTTATAGAAATGTAGTGTAGTAGAAAGTACAGATACTTGATGTAAAATGTAGTGGAGTAAAAGTATAAAGTACCCACATTTAACTCTTCTTAAGTAAAGTACAGATACACAAAAAATGTACTTAAGTACAGTAACAAAGTATTTGTACTTAGTTGCATCCCACCACTGCTGTAAACACACAACGCAGCGCTAAGGAACAACCTGAGGAACATGGAAAGAAACAGAGGAGCAGGATCCAGGTGGCAGTGGGCGGGGCTTGACTGAGGAGCAGGATCCAGGTGGCAGTGGGCGGGGCTTGACTAAGGAGCTGGATCCAGGTGGCAGTGGGCGGGGCTTGAGTGAGGAGCAGGATCCAGGTGGCAGTGGGCGGGGCTTATCTGAGGAGCAGGATCCAGGGAGCAGTGGGCGGGGCTTATCTGAGGAGCAGGATCCAGGTGGCAGTGGGCGGGGCTTGACTGAGGCACAGGATCCAGTGACTGAAAAAACACAAACTGGGACGTAAGCTTGAAGAAACTACAGACTGATCAGGAACACAACACAAGTAGATGAACACCTCAGAAAAACAAGATACAGAAAATAAAAACAAAATGAACAAAATCACTGAAGCCTGATGTGAAAACACAGAAACCCCTCAAACAGCAATCCTAACGCTCAGATCCTGACACTGCCCACCTGGTCCGATTTTCAGGACAGGTTACACAGATACACAGGAAGTACACACAGATATACACGAAGTACACACA